AGTAATTAAGTCCTCAGCCAATTTTAGTAAAGATTTCTTATGTTTGGGAGTTATTTGTCAACTAGCGGCATTATAAATCGGAACTCCATAGGCTTCATAAGATTTTAACTGTTCACTACTTATTTTGCTAGTAATCAGTCGTAAAATGTCTTCTTTTTCACTGATAGATAAGTTGAAATTTCTTTCTTCTTGTTTTAAGGCAGTTCGAATGTCTAATAACTCCTTCTTTTTCTCAGTAGTGTTTATTTGCAAATTATCCAAGCCGGAGTTCAGAATAGTTAGTTTTTGTTCGTTAGTTAGATAAGAATAAATATTTTCTAATTCCTTTTGCTTATCCCGTAAATAAGGAGATTGAGCCGAAATATTACACTATTCAAATTAATTTCCGCTTTTTCTAAATAAATTCACATCATCTAAACTACTTTCCCTTTGCCAATAAAATCTAAAATTCTTTGTTTAGCCACATTATCATGAAATTTTAATTCACTTCTTCCATACCTTCTCGCTAAATCATCTTGAAAATTTTTCTTCTTAATCTCTCTTTTATTTTTTACCAAACTAGCGTAAAAACTGTGAGTTATTTGTTTGTTTTCAACATAATATTCAAAAGATATATCTTCAAAATCGGCTTCTTTTCGGTTGCGAAATTCCTCTATACTGCAAAAACTTAAATAACCATTATTGATATAACAAACACACCCATTAAAAGCATAATTAAGTTCTTGCTCGTCTGTAAAAGGAACTAATTCTTCTTCTTTATTCATATAATTAATTTTTACTACAACTTGATTAATTGCCACGTTTTAAACCAGCCAATTCCAAACTTCTCATTGCACACTTTTTTATTCTTCTTCAAGATGCTAAAATTTGTTGCGGGGTAGGATTCGCTCCTAACTTTTTTCATTTCCTACTAGGTGCCACTGGCTGGTCTCATCAGGGTATATGTAGTTTAGACCATTGTTTATAAATTCAGTTAGAACGAATAGATTTTTTGATTCCCTTTTCAGTATCCTTTTCTCGTTCTTTATCCTTATCAAAATATTCCCAACAGTGCTGAAAATACTTAGTTAAATCTTTTTGTTCTAACATTTTTATTGCTTTATCAATGGATGCTTCTAACTCTTCAAAAGTTCTTGGTTTCTTTTTTTCGGTATTCTGTCTCAGAAAATTAAAACATAACTCTACAGGATTTAATTCAGGTGTGTAAGGCGGTAAATATTCAGGTTCGATATTTTTACTTTCTAATAATTCCTTAATAGTTGATAAGCCTTCATTTTGACAAGATTTAGTGGCATGATGAACTTTGAGATTATCTAATAAGAGATAAAGTTTTTGGTCAGTTGGAAGATTAAGACTAGAAATGAATTTATGAAAATCTTTACTCTTCATCCCTCTTGGGATTAGCTCCCATTTAACTATCCCTCTCCCCTTTATGTTTTGAATACAAAGAATTAAAGTGTGATTATCTCCTTTTTTGCTTGGTTTTCTACGATTAGCTCGCTTGCCTTTTTCAGCATAGGAATATCTAGGAACTTCATTTAAATGGAAAGAACATTCATCTATTGCTAAGACAGGAGATTTAGACAAGGTTGGAATTTGCTCAACAAACTTTGCAATTTTCTCAGGATGATTTAACTGTTCAGTATAATGGTAATTGATTTTCTTATGAGTAACTTTTTTTCTTTTCAAAAATCGAGAAATAGTAGGTTGACTAATCTTTTGCCCTGTTTCTCGAAAGATAAGATTTGCTACTTCTCGTTGATTTGAAATATCTCCTTTTTTAAGTTGGGAAGTGTAGTATCTTAAAAGTTTCGCTAATATGGGGTCTTTAGTCTTTGGCTTTCTGCCTATTTCTTGATGAGTTACATGTAACTTTCTTCGCTTATCTCAATTTCTGATAGTTCTTTCACTTACTCCAAAGGCAATGGCAGTTCGTTTTTGAGTAGGTTTTTTTACTTTGATTGGTAACTTTTCTATTCCAATTATTTTAGAAGGTTGAATAAATTGTTCTTGCATTATTTTCTTTTCTTTCTTAGCAAGAAATAAGCAACTAATCCCACCACTACTATTTATTCCTATCCCTCCTAATATGTAAGGTAAGTAATTAGTGGGTTGTTGAGTATTAGTGCCTTGTTTTTGTAAATCAGTTAAAGCAAGAGTGTTTAATCCTCGGGCTTGGCAGTAACTTCTAATTTGCTGCAACTCGGGTTCAGTTGAGGTTCTGGTTTCGGTGGTGGAATTATTATACTCAATTATTAACTTACTGTCATTTAATTTGATAGATTTGATATCGTGCTTCTGAAAGTAAGCCAAAATGTTCTCTCTCTCTCTCTCTCTCTCTATGTTATCATTAAGGATTATTATTTACTAAGAACCTTTTATAAGTATCATATTGATTATCAAACTGTGCTTTATTATTTCGATAATCACCATATTTTTCTCAAGTTCTTTTGCTTGCATCGTAAAGAGGAGAGCTTTTAACAATTTCTCAATTTCTTTCTAATTCAGTTAAGTCTTTACTGTTTTTGAGTAAACTAGTAAGGCGATTATATTTATTATATTCAGCTGTCTTATCAACTCGAGGAGCTGGCAATTCTCCCAGTTTTTGCTTAGCAAGTGTTCTTACCTCTTCGGGGCTGCTAGAACAATTTTCCCAATGCTCTAAACGAATCTTTTTATCAGAATGAGCACTTCCAATAGTGCCAATAACACCCAGTTGCTTATTACAATAAGGGCAAGATTTTAAAGTTAGGGAGTTAAATACTTTATTTACTCTTCAATTTTTTGTTGCCACATCCCTTTGATAATCCTCTTGGGTTTTCTTGTGGATAACTATTTCCCTTTGCTCATCAACTTCTATCCTTTTTACTTTTTCTTGTCGAGCTCACTTGAATAACTCAGTTAGGAATTCATTACCTTCTTCTTTGATTTCTTCAAGGAAAATTACAGTTCTTCCTGATAAGTTAGGTATAGAACTTTCAGTGTAACAAGTAATAGTAACAAAGTTATCATGGGGTAATTCTTCACCTGGTTTGAAATCTGGTCTATTAGGTAAAACAGTAAAGATGTTTCAGGTTTCTTGGTGCCCTCTAGGGGAAAAAATTATTTCTGTATATCTTTCATTTTGTAAGTATTTTTTAATTGATTCGTTATTTATTATTGTTGACATATTTTTTTGGTTTCCTTGTTGGTTTTTCAAGCAAAAAAAGTGAAAAAATTGTCTATACTCTACCCTAAGTTTCTAAAATATAGTATTATATATTGTTAGTGAGGTTAATTTTCAAAGTGGTATCTGAAATTAGTTCCTCAATGAGACCAGCAAGGAAACTCTAACTAGTCTCATTCAAGAGTTAATTCTCTACAAATTTAGGAGGGTCATTTTGACCTAAAAAAAGTGAAGATAATCTCTCCTCTCTATAAATTGATAAAAGTATTTGTATTGAAAGTTTGCTATTGCTGAACATCTTATTACTCTACTCTAAAAGTGAAGGTTACTAGGTAGATGTTCAGTCTTTAGAACCTTTCACCTACCACTTTTACAATAGATAATACTCTATATTATATTATTTTAATGCTATTATTTATATCAATATGGAAGAAACAAAAATAAAAATTTGTAATTATTGTCACAAATCAATGGTTGAACCATTTAAAAATGCAGCCCTTTGCGTGATAGAAAGACAAAGACCTAGCACCAAGGATTACCCTAAAAATTTGAACATAGAAACCAAAGATATTTTTTACCATCAAGAGTGCTATAAGGAAAAACTTGGTATTGTTGATATTAGTAAATTGAGAGAAGGATTTAAGAGAGCTGCTGTGTTACATAATTACAGAAAGGTAGGAACCTTTAAAATCGAAGAGTAAAAAGTTCATGTTTTTTATTAATGAAGAAAAAACAAAGTTAGTAAGGAAATGCCCAAGTTGTGGAATAGGTAGAATCATTCCGTGGCAAGACTGAATTAGAACAAGAACATAAAAGGATAGTTAAAGAAATGTTAAAATTTGCCTTACCTGATATGGAAATTGAAGTGATTTTTTCAGATGATGAGTTAATAACGAGTGACAGTGAACATGATAAATGAAACTGAGGTTCAGCTGTGCCAATTCTTGACAAACTCACTATTCCTTGATACACCTTACGAAACAAGCGGCAATTTTTTGAAACAATGATTCACGAACCAGCTCACTTTCTTGCTTATAGAAAGAAATATTTTCTTGAGGAAAAAGAAATTCATCAAAAAGTTTATAAATTGGAATTAGAGTATGAAACTTCAAAAAATCCTATAATTAAATCAAAGATAGACAATTATTACTATGATGATGAAAGTTGCGAAATATTAGTTAGGTATCAAAGAGGATGAGAAGAAAGTAAAGGAGGTCACTGATATGACCCTTGATACCTAGAATATAAAAAACTTTTTTGAAAATTTTACAATTCTGACTTTTGAAAATATGCCTATGGTAGAAGAAATAATGAACCTTTAAAATATGGATTTGATGAAGAAGGAAATGGAGAATATGAAGTAGAAGAAGTTAAAAATAACTAATATGAACAGACCCTATTACGTAAAGAATATAACTGCTCACAACGATAAGCAAGTTACGATTGATTTATATGGAGAGTTAGAGTATTCCAACGGTAAATCTAGTCTTATCAACTTAGTTAACAATAGCAAGATTAATACCTTTGATAAGCCCCAACTTTCTCTTATTGAAACTCTTAATCTTAAAAAAGATGGCTTAATTCATATTAATGCTTCAAAGATAAAAGAACATTCTTACGGTTCTTGGATTAGTGATTTAAGTATAGTTAGTAAAGTGGAGTAGTTTTAAAAGTTAAAAAGCGGAAATTAATTTAAATAGTGTAATAGTTCTAATTTGTTCTTCGTTTAAATTAGATAATAACTTGCTTAATGTCTTTTTTATTTCCGACGGATAAGCCGGTATTTTGACCAAGGTTTGAGAAATTTCCTGATAAACTTGCTCATTTTGTTTATTTTGGATTTTCTCGGCTAGCTGCTGTTCCGCTTTCTTTAACTAATTGGAGAAATTTCTGAGCCGAAGACGAAGTTAAGTAATCCTCACTTTCTTTTTTACCTCATTTTTGCTTGATTTCTTCATAAAGTTTACGGACTTGCTCTACTTCTTGTTGATTAGTAAAGAAAATATTACTAGGAGTGCCAATTCCTTGGCTTAAAATAGCGAAGTTGACCGTTTGTGAAGTTTTAATTTTGGCTTTAACTTTTTCTAAGTTTTCTGAGGCTTCTTGTAATCTTTCAATATACTCAGTTTCGTTTTTAATAACCTTTTCGGCAAATTCTTCCTGAGTTTCGATTAACTCCTTTTCTTTGACGGTTATTTCTTTTTTACTTTTCCAATAAGTATAGCCGTAAATGCCTAAGATTATGGCATTATAGCCAGCCACACAAGGTCATTTGTATTTTTCTTGTTCCGGTGCGGAATATGCCAGAACATTACCAGCAACATAACCGATTATGAGGAAATATTTGTCTCAAAGTTTTTGATACTCCATAACGGTATCTTTGTTATAGTAAAGAATAGCCAAGATGACATTAAGGACAATCAGACCAGTTAAACCATTCTTTTTATAAACAATATACTCCAATAAGAAGATAATCAAATAAAGCATGTAAAGGCTCATTGACTTCTGAGGAGCAGCGGTCGAGGATTGCGATTCTTTAATTTCTTGGATTTTCTCTTCAATCTTTTTTAAAGTGGGAGTTTCCGGGCTGTCATTGAGGATTTGTTCTTCGGTTTTCTTAACTTCTTGTCATTGCTGCTCAACATACTCATGTTTGGCTTGATTGGCCTGTTGTTCCGCATCTTTAATTTCCTTAGCTAGTTTTTTGGCTAGGATAGCAGAAGGTGGTTGTTGTTGGACTTTCTTAATTTCCTGTTCTTTTTTTTGAACTTCTTTTTCGCCTTTCTCTACTTGTTTTTCCAGTTTTTTTTCGGCTTGCTCAGTTTGCTCTAACTGCTTCTGTAATTGAATTAATTTTTCCTCTCTTTTTTCTTTATTTTCTTGCAGTTTTTGCTTTTGCTGGGGAGTAGTAGATTTTTGACCCAGACTTTGCTCAATTTTCTGGATTTGTTTTTGTTCTTTAACGATTTCTGCTTTTATTTGGGCTTGTTGTTGTTGGGTGGCTTGTTGTTGATTACGGGATTGAACAAATTTAGCTTGGGCTTGGGCTTTTTCACTGACTAACTGCTGTTCTTTTTGTTCCAATTTTTTTATTTCCTCTTCTTCACTTTCACTATCTTCGCGGGAAGCGGTAGTTATTTCTTCTAAGGGAGTAATATTTTCGTTAATTTGCTCTTGAATTTCTTGGAGTTGTTCGAGTAATTGGCTTTTGGTATCTTCAATTACTTCTTGGAGATTTTTTTGCTGTTCGGAAGATTGCTCGGTTTGTTCTTGTTGCTGCTGCGGTTGGCTAGGGGCTGCTTCTTCCGGTTTTCTTTTTTCAGGGTCAGTGAGCGGAGCAGTTTCATGCTCTCCTAATAAGCGGGTATCTCAGCCTCATTCTCTTAGCTGTTCGGGCGTATACTTTTTGGCTCAACTAGAATCAGGTTTTAAGGGCATTCCTTCCGGACGAGGGATTTGCTTTTCCGTTCCTTCCTTAATGCCGACTTTCCATTCTCTTTCACTAGGTTGGGTGATTAATTTCTGGGTTTTCTTTAACAATTCTAAACTGGCTAATAATTGGGCTTCTTCGGCTTTTAATTGTAAAGTTTTTTGAATTTTGTCCAAAGCCATATCCTCGGCCGAAGTATCTAATAACTTTTGAGTTTTTAATAGATTATCAATTCTTTCATTAGCCCACTGGGCTTCTTTTTTCGCTTCCTCAGTTAATTTCTTATTGTGGACTATTTTTTCCGCTAATTTATCTACTTTTTTATTATGTTTTTCTAACTTGTCGGCTATTTCGTCCACTTTGCGGGTGGCTTGTTTAGCAGCGAACACAGCTTCATCAATTTTTTCTTCTTGTTCTAATTGTTCGCGTTGGATTTTGCTGATTCTTTGGTTAAATTCTTCTTCAATTTCTTCGATTTCATTCACCACCAAATCTAATCTATTTTTTTGTTCACGGGCTAAATTAACCTGTTCTTCTAAGGTTTCGGCCAATTCTTGGTGTTCTAAGTTAAGTTTCTTTTGCTCGTATTCGACATTAGCCAAGTTTTCTTGAAATTCACTTAATTGTTCTTCGTTATCCTTAATTTGAGTTTCTAAGATTTTATTATGCCGCGTGTAATCGGCTTGGAGGTCTTCAAAAGCCTGCTCTGTTTTCACTGTTTTCTCATTAATCTGGTGTTTATATTTTTCGAAATCTTGCTTAGTTTCGCTTTGTTCTTTGCGTAAATTATCGAGATTGGTATTAGTAACGCGAATTTGGTCTTTTAATTCACCGCGAACATCTTCTAATTTAATTTGTTCTTTAAAGATTTTTTCCGAGTTGTCTTTGATTTTCTTTTCGTGTTCTTGGAGGGTTTCTTCAATATTCTCGATGTTTTTTTGAACTTGCTGGTTAACTTTTTCTTGCTCGGCTTGAAAGGCTTTGGTAAATTGTTCTAATTGGTCTTGGCGGGCTCCCATGGCTTCCAAAGCTTCTTGCATTTCACCTCGTAAACCGTCTAAGGCTTGGGCCGTGGAATTAGCCAAGTTTTCTAAACCGTCTTTTAGTCCTTGAATATTTTTACTGAGAGTTTCTAGTTTAGCATCTAGTAAAGCATCTTTGGCCGTTCCTAGTCCAAAACTGAGAGCATTTCCGATTAAAGGTATCGAACTAACGGCTCTTTCGGCCAATCCGATGGCTGTGTGTAAAGCTTGTTTGGGATTAGTAGCTAGTGTTACCCCAGTTTTCAGAGCAAATTTGGCTCCTTCCTTGGCTCCTGTTTTTAAACCTTGGTAGATTTTGCTGTAAACATTCGGGTCGAGAGCAGCATCAGCCGCAATTTTACCGGCTTTTTTAGCAGTATTCCAAGCGGCATCACCCAGTTTACGAGCGTAGTCTTGTAAATTTTGGTCTTTGTCTTGTTCGTTAGTCATTTTTGTTAGTGATAAGGTTTCTTATGCAAGGCAAAAACAGGGCAAGGGAGGAAGTAAGGAAAAAATTTAATTGGCTAATTTCTTCTGATAAAATCAGCAAGCCAGGTCAAGTATTATTAAAATTCAGAGGATTTTCATATTTATTTATTTATTTTTCTTAGACAAGGCCCTAAGTAAAGGCTAATTATGAACACTTCCTACTAATTTACTGTAAGTTTTTCAATCACGGTATTTTCTAGGGCATTTCTCATGGCGAAAACTTTTAATGGAAAGAGAAACACTAACACTACTTATCTTATGGTTTCGAGAAGCCAAAACTAGGACAAAATTATTCGTTTGGATATCCTTTTCAGTAATTTCTTTCTCACAGATGCTACAAGGAGAACTTTCAATAATTGTTAACAACTTCTGTGATTGAATGCTTTGTTTAGGGATTTCTAAATTAGTAAGTAGTTCAGTCATAATATATTAGATTTTTAGTAATTTATTTTTAAATTCATCATATTTATCATGTCAAATTTTATCATGTCCTTTCCCAGGATGGGGAATTCCACAACGCGAGCATTGACGAGAGAAAACAGTAGAGTTAGGATTGTAGTCAGGGTGGAAACGAACCTCATCAGCAGCGTGGGCAAACTCATGAAACAAAGCATCTTTCAATATTTTTCGTTTTTGTAAGACTTGGCGGGAAAAGATAACATCAATTACTTCGTCAGTGGGTATTCAGAAACGGGTATTACTATATTTCTGAGAATCTTCCATTTTTTCAACAAATCTAACTTTTATTTTTTGTTCAGGAAGTAATTTTTTGGCTAGGTGATTGGCAAGTTTTCTTTCTTTGGCAAATTCTTCTTCTGAAATGTCCACATAAACATCTTTGATAAATTGCTTGATTCCGCTTCAATGACAACTCAGACAATTTCAAATCTCAGCTTGGAATTGTTTTTGATTATAAATCTCTACTTTTAAGAGATGACTACAATTAGGGCACTTTTGATAGTTCATTTTAACTTATTTTTCTTATTTTTAAGGAGGCTTTGACCTCCCATTTGCTGCATAATTTTTCAATCCCTCCCTAATCCTCTGATTACTAGCCTTAATAAGGGCTAACTTCCCTTTTACTAGTTGCTTAAAATTGGCTAATTCTTGGGATTTGGTTTGCTCTAATTGGTTAATTTTCGCTTCTTGCTGGTCATTTTCTTCTTCTAATCATGTAAGTTCCATCCTTTGGTCTTTAACAGTTTTTTTTTCCTTGGCTAATGCTTGGGCTAATTCTTTTTTTTCTTGTTTAGTTTCTCGTCTTTTAGTTGAAAATCAATTCGCAAAATTTAACAATTTGTTTTCTTCTCCCAATTCTTCTTTTGGTTTTCTATTACATTTTCATTTAACCCAAACAGTTAAGTATGGTAAAACTTCTTCCTGCTCTTCTTGGTTTCAATCTCAATTTTTTTGCGGAAAAGAAAGAAAGTCTTCTTCTCCTTTATCATCAAACATTACGAGGAAAAACTTATCCCAGTTTGGTAAGTTTTCTATCTGTTCAGTATTTTTAGCTAAGTAGTCTTGAAAATCTGCTAGTTTTGCCATATTATTTTTGCTTGGGAAGAGAAATTGTTGATTTTGCTCTCTCTCTCTCTCTCTCTCTTTGGTCTACCTCGGCTTTTCATTCATTAAATACTTCTATGTAAAGCGAGCCAATGCTTGAGACTCTTGATTGTCATTCTTCTTTGCCACGGCAATGCTTGATATAGTTTGCCATCATTTGTTTATAAAATTTGCCTATATCTAAGTATTGATATTTTTCACTGTTAAGTATTGAACTCTGTCTGTTATTTAACCAAGTTTGAAAGTCTACAAAATTATACTTAGTCATATTTACTTTAATAATTCTTCTAATTCTTGAATTGGTTGGTCTTGGTTAGTTAGTTCTTGGGCTAAGGTGGTTAAAACTTCTTTTTGCTTAGTTAGTTGGGTGTTTTGTTGGTTAATCTGTTCTAATTGCTTAGTAAGATTTTTTTCTAATTCCGACTTCTCGGTAAGTTTCTTCCCTAATTCTTTATATAAACCATTAAAGGAAATAGGTTCCGTGAAATATTGAGCTGAGGGGTCAAATAAACTGTTAATTTGCTTTAATTGCTGGTTAAACTCAATTTTGGTTTGGGCTAATTCCTGTTCTTTGACTCTTTTGTCATTTTTTGCCGTAGTAAGAGAGTTAGTTAACTCTTGCTCTTTTTGAACTCAATTATTTTTATCAGTTTGTCAACTGCTTTCTAATTTAGTTAATAGCTCCTGGGCTTGCTTATTATTTTTAATCTTTTGCCGAGCAGTAAAAATTAATTGTTTTTCTAAGTCAGTTATTTTTTGCTCTAACCTGGTCTGATATTCAGTTAGTTTATTTTTTTCTTGACTAGTTTGGTTGTTTAATCTTTCTAAATCTTGATATCTACTGGCTCACTCTGACCCTAATTGCTCAGC